CTAGATACAGGGAATCTTGTAAACTGTTCATAACTACATTCGGACGGATATAATATGTGTTCTTCCAAGCTTCAACAACATTAAAAACAATAACATTGTCTATCACTTCTTTTCCTTCGTTAAGAAAAGGAGGATCTCCCTTCAAGAACTTGAAAAATTCATTATGGTCAAATAGAGAAACATATTTGGTTGTCATATCTTGAAATGCTCTCTACAGAATTTTGTCGGCTTCTCATTGTGGTTAAATGCTAATGTCGATTGACTCACACTCAGATTTGGATTCTAAATCAGTACCATCAGTTTAGCATCCAAGTTGGATAAACCAGTGGAGTTTCATGTCCTTATTTTCTGTAAAAGAAACAAAATTGGAATTATTATGATAACTAGGGTAGATGATGTATATCAGCTAACTATTCATAAGAACTCATCACAAGTCTCATACATTCATAACAGAAACAATTTCAATAAACAAAAAAATTGTTTATTTTAGATTTTGTTATCGGATAGAATCAATATTCTAAAACAAAATCATTAACCAAAGTTACTTTCACGACGATTTATGTTATACAACTTTGTCTACTTTGGGATTTTAGCAAACTCGTTAAGACTGCGGGATAAATCTCGAAACAAATTTGTTCGCTAACTCGTTTTTCCCATAATTTTGAATCATCTCGGATTAAGAAAGGTAGAAGAATGATATATAATATGTCTTAAAATTGTTATCCGAAATAACTATCCAAGACAAATCGAACCAGAGAAAAATAAAAAGAAATTAAAACTCTCAAAAAATTAAAATAAATTAAATGGAAGATAAAATACTCTTTGATTTTGATCTTGTAATTGGAAACAGTTGATGCATGTCGCTACACAGTTTTCTTAAGATGATTTTCGGCCACTCATTTGGTGCTTGAGATATTTGGTTGTCTGTCTCCCAGGATACAACAACTAAATGATCAACGAATAGTTGCACAAACTTTCGAGATTACGAACTATCCTTTCCTTCATCTATCACTAAAAATCTAAGGAGATAAAACATTTTTTCAAAAAAGTAAAAGTTCTTGAATTCTGAGAAAGGAAAAACCTAGCTTTTGCTCAGTATTTATAGGGATTTTCATGAGAATTTTACTTCAACCAAATATCTTTTAATATCCAAATTTAAACAGGTAATATTATCTTTTAATTTGAAATATTCAAAAGATGTTAACTCCTTTTACTATTCAAACCTAAACAAATATTATTTTAATTTGAAATATACAAAAGTATATAATTATCTTTTAAATTCAAAGTTAAATATATAATAAATACTTTTTTAATTTGACATATTGAAAAATATAATTATCCTACTAATATTCAAATTAAAGAATATATTTTAATTTATAATATTTAAAAGGAATATAAATTTAATATAAATATTAAATCTATCAATTAAATTCACCCCTTTTTTTCTAACAACAGTTTTTTGTTTGGAATTAAAGAAACTACACTTGTTTGCTTTTGTCATCTTATCTTTTCTCAGTTGTGTTCACATGATATTAGGTCAAATTTGGATTTTGGAATTTGCCACCTCAATATATATAAAAACATACATACGTGTATCATGGCAGGAAGCAATGCTTTTCTATGTCCAAACTAAATTTTCCTTATAATCTAAAGATCCTTAATAATAATTGAAATTGAAAAAAAAATGTCTGTATGCTTAATCAGTTCTTAATGATTAAATTATCTTTGGCAAGTAGTCGGTTTGAGCGCAGGAGATGGATGGTGATCGATTATGTTATTGAAAATCATTTTGGAGAAGGATGGAAGGACAAGTGGAACGAACAAGTCCACCACATGTAAATATGTCAATCAATCTGCGTGGGAGAATGATTATTGGTTAGAAAAAACATGAACACAGTACATTGACGTGGCATTTCTTAGGTACAGCAGGCTTTGTCAGTCTTGTGGGTTATAAAGAAAGAACCCCCTCAGGCACCGGACCACGGCCGCCGAGCCAATCAGTTTGGTCATCGTGCCACTTGGCCTCTTGCCATAGCATCGTACCTAATCGCCACGACCACCTAAGCGTGCTGATTCGATATGCAACTAAACAGCAATATAAACTTTTCCTTTCGATGTTCTCTCAAGTCCCCTTCACCATACTTTTGGGGGCAGCTCCAGCTTATCTGCTTCATATCAGTATACTTAATACTACACAATTATCCGGGACGGAGGTAAGAATTTGTATTAAGGGATATGAACATAAAAAATCATATTAAAACTTTAAGAGAAGCAAGATTATAAAATCTCAGAGAATATAAAATTACATAAAATTCACATAAAATATAAAAAAATTTAAAATATAAGAGATTTTAATAAATATATTCTCCCATCACCCGTTCGTCCATCCGTGCATTTACCCCATCAAAATATGATGCTTTTTTCGAAGACAAAGTGGTCGTAGTGATTCCTGTCCTTGTCTCCGAAAGTTTCTGTCGAGTGGACTATCCATGCCACGTGTATCCATCGGAACTAAGACTTCTCCTCACTTTTAAGTATATGGTAAGAATTTAACACATATGTTGGACCATTCGATCAGTAGAATCGACCAATCATACTATTTTTTTTGAATCAGTAGAATCGATCAATCATACTAATTTTTATTTTTATTTTTATTTCTCAAAGTTCTCTGTAAATCTTTTCATTTTCTCTCAACTCAAACACTCTAGATGCGAGAATATCTTTCATTTTTTGAAAATCTTTTCAATTCTATCAATTTTTCCTCTTATGTTCTATTTATCAAATTCTAAAAGCAATGAACAGCAAGGATTATAAGTTTTAAAGCTTCAATTGAGGTAATCTAAATCCTTTAAACTTGTTTTCGAAGCGTTTTAATGTTTTAAACCAAGTTTATATCCACTAGAGCATGAAGTCCGAAAGACCTTTAAGCTTTCATGAATTATCTTGAGATATCCAATAAGTTTTGAGTTATTTTCAACTTGTGTTTATAATAAATAAGAGTTAATTTTTTTTTTGGAAGAAAAATAAGAGTTTAATTTTAATTGAACTGGATAGAGACATTAGACTTAAGTGTTTTCTAGTTCTACTATGTTGAGTTGTGTTTGGGCCAGTGGCATTTATAAGTTTAGCTTTAATAATAAAATTTAGGGTAAATTATGCATTTAGTGCATAAACTTTCAATTTTTCAAAAACATACCTAAAGATTTTTTGTTTCATTTTAATACTCTTGCTCAAAATTAAAGTTGAGTTTTGAAAAAGATTAAAAGTTTAGGTACTATAACGGATCAAAATTTATAGTTTAGGTACTAAACGCGTTAAATTTGTAATGGTTGGATACTAAAATGAAACAAAAACTAAATGTTAGATATGATTTTTAAAAAAATTAAAATTTTAGGTATTAAAACGGTCCAAAATTGATTATTTAGGTACTAAATATGTAATTTACCCTAAAATGTAATTTTAATTGAACTGGATATTTAATTTAATTTATGGGCGAAAACAAAATGAGTATCTACGATAATTAAAAAATAAAATATTTATGTTAGGTTGGAGTGAATTGTTGGAAATGTAGGAAACATTATCCAATGAGGAATGGAAACGTAAGTGTTGTCACATGGAAAATGCACGAGGTAACCCAACAACCTTAATAATCTTTTCGAATTATGAAATGATTAGTGGTTGAAAGCATCAGCTGTTATAATAAGTATATTTCTCAGTTCAATGCGAGTAGTTATAGGCTAATGTTTTTCACTCATCTCTCGAGCCCCGGGTGAGAGATGGTTAAAAGTAATTGTAGGTATTGGCTAATCCATCTTTTAAAATACCTCCCAATTGCACAACAAGGGTGACTCCAATGCCTTACCTCATTGTTTATCATCTTCAATGCTGGTCAGCTTTGGGATCCAAAACCCTACCTCTGAGTATATTACTTCCAAAATTATACACCCCAAAAGCTCAATCCCATCCTAGGTCTCATTCATATTCTACATACACAACTGTTTGAACACGAATCTTCTAGGAAGAACAATATTTCTTTTACCACTAAAATCACTGAATAGGTTCAAAGAGACATTTATTTCATATATATGATTTAAACGTAGAAATTAAAAAAAATTAATTTTTAGTCTCGGTAGAATTATGATGACAATTTAACCCGAACTCGACGGATTATGACCCAACCTAATATCATCATATTTAAAAAAAAAAATCGATTTGGCTCCAATTTTATATTATGTAAGATCGGGTCAACTTTGAATGGAATGTGAAAATCCTTCGATCCGACCCAACCTAGGGGTAATATTATAATTTTTCATATAAATTTATGGATAAATGTTATAATACCTTACCTCTATATATATTTTAAATTAGATCGTTGTTTTACATTGAGTCGATTCATATCGAATCAAATTTATATTTTAAAAATTAGAGTTGGATGGATTTAAATAGAAAAATGTATATTTTGAATTGGGTCGAATTGAATCGAATAAAAATATACATTTAAATAAAATCAAATTTGAATGAAGAATGTATATTGTTTAGATTATAGAGTGAACCAAAAATACAACCCATTACTATCTCGAGGTGGGGACTAAAGAAAAACTCTTGTCGCCACCATTAGATTATAATATACTCGTGTGTATTGTGCAAAATTTGGATTCTTTTCCCCAACTTTATCCACTTGTTGGGGTGTGGAGGGCAGAATTGGGTTGACATGATTTTCCTAGAAACTCCCCACCCACGATTTTATTTTTAAAATTTACAAAGCTATTGGGGTCATATCCTAACTAGTTACCATCATACAATTTTAGATGTGACACTCCCTCTTGTCTCAAACTAATGTAACAAATTATAACACTTGAATGGCATTGTTGTTATTTCACAAGACAATGGAGTCCAATATTTCGATACAAGGGTATTAAGGTAAACAAACAAGTGCGGAACTCCTAACTCAACCCTATAAATAAAGCACGTTACTTAACACATTCAACACTACTCTTAGAGATCAAAAGACGTGAGGAAGTTTGAAAGAAAGAGAGAATGAGCGAAGATTATCAAGGGATGATGACAACCCAAACGAATGGACATCAACATCTTATCTACCCTGGATTATACACTCAAATCGCAGCACACCAAGGTAACTCGTGTTGCATAAACTTAAAGACCAAAAAAAAAACAGATTAGTTCTTCCATTCATGTTTTCCAAATCTTGGTAGCTTAATTAATTAACCCGGTCGACGAGCAGGGGAACCGAAGGCTCGACGGCGGAGGAGGAAGACCAAGGGAGGAGAAAACAGCCGGTGTGGAGGGGCTAGAAAAAGGAAGCTTACACAGGAACAAGTTGATCTTCTTGAACAGAACTTTGGGAATGAACATAAACTAGAGTCGGAAAGGAAAGACCGAATCTCATCGGAGCTGGGACTTGATCCTCGCCAGGTTGCTGTTTGGTTCCAAAACCGAAAAGCTCGTTGGAAGAACAAGAAGATGGAGGAAGAGTACAACAAGCTCAAATCACTTCATGAAACTGCTGTTCTCGACAAATGCCGCCTTGAATCCCAGGTACATATATATTTTATAAATCACATTACCAAGCTTAACCACAAACCCTTTGTTTTTCATATATTTTAGACATTGTTTTTTTCGGAACAAACTGGTAAAAGAAAGATGCAAAAACATTATCCGAGACGAATTAATTAACAAAACAGTTGAGGCTTAAAAGGCGTTGGATAGAAGGAAACGAAACAACTTAAGCAATTGGCAACCTCTTAATCTTTATCATTTTGGAGAAGAGAAGTTGACCCACCATATCAGAACGCGCTTGACATGAGCTCTGGGCTCGAAGATGGCCACGTCAGTTAATGAGATCATATGTAACTTTATTAATATAATTCGTTTTATGTTTTAAAAAAAATTAACAACTTTTTTTAATAGGACATGTGATTATAAGATATATGTTTAGAATATTTCTTAAATCAAACATAAGGCTTTTAAGAAGAATAATATTTTTTTGATTTTTTTTAATATTATGTGTATATATGTTGGTAGTATGAAATACAAACTGGAAGTTGGAAACAATAGTGTTGAACAAAAAGTGGGGGGAAAATTGACGAGGAACAGCGAAATGCCACCTTTTTAAACAACAAAAAGTAGTTGAATTTTTTTCCAATCAAAACAAAGGGTCCACTTCCATATATTAAGCTTAAAGCTTAGTAAATTTTTTTTACACGATTGTGGTAGGTTGTAAAGCTGAAGGAACAACTGAGCGAGGCGGAGAAGGAAATCCGGAAGCTGGGGGAACGAATAGAAGGGGTTTGGAGTAATAATAGTTCAAGCTCGTCCGTACTGTCAATGGAAGCCAATATTGGTCCATCTTTTCAAGGGGAATTTGGGTACGATGATGTTTTCTACATTGGGGAAGACAGTTATATTCTTGGCACGGAGTGGGTGAATCTTTACGCGTAATAATATTAGTGGCTACAGTAGATATGGATAATTATGGGCACCCAAATCACTTAATGTAATTAACTCTCAACATGCCTTCTAATGGAGATGATTTAGTGAAGTACGTAAATACGTTTATCTTTCCTACAGAACTCTCCAATGGAGTCATATTCTTTACTGTTTTAGAGTAGTATACCTTATAATATGTTATAACGAGTTGGGTGATTTCATTATTAGTTTTCCAAATAAAAAAATGTTCAATTATTAATTTTAGTGCATTTTATCTTTGATATCCCAGGAGAAGAAAAACCCTAATCACGTGGCTGCACCAAACTTTATCTAAAAACAAGATAAGATCCTACTTTTAAAAATAGTTCTACGGATTATACTTAACTTTTATACTCTAATTTAAGGTAATTTAATATTTTAAAATTAATAATATTATTGTTTAATATATATATATATATATATATATTTAGTGCGAAGGAAAGACCGAAAACTATATTACAGCACTCTTATAGCATCAACTCGTAGCAAAACCAGAAGCAGCATCAGGGGGAATAGCATCGTCATGTAGCAAACCAGAAACAACAGCAGAGTGAATAACATATCTGTTAGCTCCGGATGGCATGTTCCATGCGATCTTCGCCATTGCATCCGCAGTCCGATTGGCTTCGCACGGCGTAAGAGAAAACTGCAGTCTCCAGGGACGATCAAACAGCTCAATCAAGTGAGAAATCAAATGAGAGTTTCCTTCCATAGTCTTGCCCTGACAAAACAATTCGTAGACTTCACGATTATCAGTTTCTACCACCACATCTTTGATTTCCAAATCCCAGGCTACAGACAACCTCTCGTAAACACCCCACATCTCAGCATCAAACACAGAACACCTCCCTAACGCCTTTGAATACCCCCATAATCTATTTTCCATTTGAATGACGTATGACTCCTCCACAAGTCGCTAAACCAGTCGAAGACTTACGAGAGCCATCAGAATTAATTTGAACCAGCCCAGAGAAGGGGTGCACCATTTGACAATTAATAAAGAATCAATCTAACAATAGAATTAATTATATGCTTTATTTAGAGTATTGATGTACATTTGGTTTGATTAACGATATTATAAAAATAGAGAATCAATCTAATAATAGAATCTTTATTCGAGCGGGAGTCATGAATTGTTTTAAGCTTTGTATCAAAAAATAAATAAATAAATAATAAAATACCAAATTATGTTTAAACTAAAATGCCTTAATATATTACTATTATTCATGTACTATAGCTTAATTCCTACTTTGTTCCTTGCACACTTTTTTATCTTAGTTATCTCACTACTACCATTTTGTTCTCAGTTACCATTGTCCTATCCATTATCTCAGTGATTATTTCTGTTAAAATAAAACTATTTGTACTAATCAGAATGTGCGATATGCCATAAAAATAAAAATAAATAAAATTCTTTATAAAGGAAAAAGTAAAAAAATCATAAATGAAAAAAAGAAATCTGAAAATTTTCAAAGTCATTTAAAATAAATTAAAATTTGGAAAAATATATAAGTTAAAAATATAAATTATATAATTTTCTTAGATTTTTTGTATTTTAGGGTTTTATATAATAGTTTTTAAATTTTCTAAACTATTTAAGAATAAGTAATTATAAAAATAAAAAATGAAATTAAAATTTATTTCTAAAATAATTCCTAACATTTTAAATTTTACGACTTTATATTTCTAACCTTTTTATATATTTTTATTTTTAAAATAAATTAACCATAATTAAAATTTAAATAATATAAATTAATAAAATAAATTCTTAAAACCAAATTTTAAATATATTTTAGGAGTTTTTTTACGAGTTTTTTTATTATATATGTTTTCCAAATTTTTATCTTTATGATACATGATACATTTTGATTGGTTTAAATGATTCTTTTAACAGAATGTAACATTTAGATAATAGATAAGATAAAATGGTATTTCAAGGGTAATTGAGGAAAAAATGTACATGAAGCAAAGTGAAAATCAGATCATAATATAAAAAATAATATTGTATTAAACTAATTAAAATATAAAGGTTGCAGGCCAAATTAATGCCCGAGCATGGGGTACCAAAACCACAATTTGACCATTAAATTTCAATCAAGGCATTTGGCTTTCACTACTAATCACCGCCCATCTCTTCTAGCATTTTTTTTAGTCAGAAACAGAAAATTGCATACAGTCCGTCCATGGTTGATAGGTGGCAAAAAGTGAAAGGAGTTGATGTGAATCCAATAGATTTGTAGGTGTGTTTGGATAAAGCAAAAGGTGAATGTTTTGTAGCAATGCAAGTGCAGATACAATGCACCAAAACCCCATTTTGGAATATATTTGACCATTAGGGTAGCGTTAGTGTTGTGTAGAGTGTAGGATCGATGCCGTTGCCAACCATCTCATAAAGGTTGGGAACTTTAGTTCCTCTCCATATGTCTAAAAATTCCCAATCCACTCAATTCCATAAAGAAAATTTGCAGATAAAATTTGACGTTTATAGCAAATTCATTAAGACGACAAATATTTTGGTAATGCTGAATAGATGGAAAGATGAAAGAAGACATGGGAATGTAATACTCAAACCTTTACAATGTGAATCGAACTAGAAAAATAAGACATCTTGGTCTTGGTCTGGGTCTTAGCTACCCACGATGGATATCAGATACGGCCCCATATTTGTCTATCCTCGCTCACATGCATATAATGTTCTTTTTCTTTGTGATCTTCTTATTATAATTTTTGGTATTTGGTTTATTTATTTATTAATATAAATATAAATATTAAAAAAGAGTTATCATAAAATATTTTTAATATAGTTTATTCTTAAAATTCAAATTTTTAATTTATCTATAGAACTTAATCCTTATTTTATTAGACCAATACATAATTAATTTTATCAATTCAATCCTTTTATTTAAATTTATATATTAATTTGGATTGTCGTTATAGTTGTTCTTCTTAATACATTTTACACATTGATGACTAAATATATATATATATATATTTGAACGAAGGAGCAATTGCACTTTTGTGTTGCCACAAATTCGGAACCTGTTCTTAACATGGATTAGATGACTCAAAGTCAAACAAACACAATATATATAGTTTATGTCAAATTTTTATATACACAACTCCTTCAAGTATGTTTCTTTGTGTGTCTATCAGATAATAAACTCTCTTAATCTCTAAACTTCAGTCACTATTCTCCAAATAAATTTCAATTTTTTCTTTTGAGAAAATATAAGTTTTAAATTTATTTAACATATACAGGGTCGTCTCTTAGGGGAGAACCCTGAGAAATCTGGCCCCAACTTTTTTATACTTATAACTAGGGCCTTCAGTTTTTTCTATTTATTATTAGAGTTCCTGATTTTTAAATTTCATAATTTTTTTACTCTCTTTTTTCATCTTTCTTATTAATTCATTTAATTTCGAATTAAATTTAAGGGTAAAGTATATAAATAGTCCACAAACTTTTAGGACGCTCACATTTTAGTCACCCAACTTTTGAAACTTGCAATACAATCATCAAATTTTTACTTCATTTTCAATAAGGTTTGTAACACCCCAATTTAGGGGCTAAATTTAAGAAATTATAAAGTGGTGGATTTAATTTGGTATTTTGAAAGAAATAGTGGGTTAAATTGCAAAATTTTAAAGTTGGCAGACCGTTTTATGAAGTGCAGAAAGTTCAGTGGCTAAACTCTTGGTTTAGCCATTTTTAATTATGAGATGATATATACCCCTAATCTCCCGTATGTTTCTGGAAATTATTTTAGTTTTCCCTCTCCCGTCAACCCTCCTTCCAACTCTGATCTACTCGCCGTCCGACCTCCGATCGACGAGCCAAAACCACCATCGTGTTCGTTGTCAACCGAGGAACCAAATCCCTCAAACCTTTCGTCGTGAATCATCACCGTTCGTCGTGAATTTCAGTCGGAAGTATCGTCGGTAATAACTCGGTTTTAGTTGGTTTTTCATCGATTCACGACGATCGGGTCATCCGATTACGACACCTCCCGCACCATCGTCTTCCTTGAGCCGTTCCGAGTCCACCGGTGTCCTCCCTTTCTTCGGCGGCGGCGGCGCGTATGGAGGTGAAGCGGTCAAAGTTTCCGATTCGTTGAAATCGAGCTCTCCGCCGTTCAAAAAATTGAACCAAACTTTGTAAGTATCTCGAAATCGATTAAAATAATTTTTAGGAATTTTTTCGGGAATTTTCCGATATCAGTGCACTGTTCACGCGCCGCCACTGCGCGTGGGGAAGGAAAAATGACCGGTTTGACCGGTTTTGTAACCCATTTGACCGGTCACAACCCGACCCGACCCGACCCGTTGACCCGACCCGACCTGTTGACCCGACCCGTTGACCCGACCCGTTGACCGTTGACCGGCGTTGACCACTGCTGACCAAAACTTTGACTGGCTTTGACCGGGCATTAAACGACTTTGACTTTGACCGAGTATACCTATCCTGACATTTTTCGACGTTCCAAATCCGATTCCGCAGTCCGTTTCTTGAAATTCGAACTCGAAGGCCTCGAAATTGCCGGTCAAACCCGTTGACTTTGATTTTGACCGAAGATTCCAAATTTTTGAAAAGCCATATTTTATGCTTTCGACGTCCTGAATCCGAATCCAAAGTCGGTTTTGCCAAATTCGAACCCGGTAAGCTGTTTTTGACTGATTTATCATCCGATTCGATCCGTTTTTCAGAATTAAACTCCGTTTTTTATGTAATTTCTGTTTATATGGATCCGAGGAAATATTGAAAGTTGAATTGAAGATCAAAGGTGTTCGAATGGAATTTTTATGGTCGACCAGTATTGCACGGAAATTGAGGTAATACTTTACTACCTCTTTATGCTTTATGGAACATGTTTATATTGATAAATGCATGAACAAGATAATGTTGGTCACTTTGGTGGAGTTGAATAATTTATACACTTGATATGATGTGGTAGAAATTCTGTAACTGATTACGGATCGAATGACTAATATAAGAGATTGAGAAATTGTTAGATTAAATTACAAGTTTGTGATTAGTGATAAAGAAATCAGCCCTGTATCTGCAACTTATAATTTATT